CCCAAGGAGTACAAAAGGGTCCACTTGACAAAGGCAGTGGAGAGGGAAAAAGGACACATATTGCGGATTGAGTTCTTATTCCTGGCGGGATCTCTGACCTCACAATTGCTAGTGTTGGAAATTAATGTAAACAAGACTTTTAAAGATCACTTTGAAAAGAAATAGTGTCGCATTAGCCAAAAATGCACAATCTGAATGTAATCAACCTAAATCAACTGACATTTCTATGAAATAACTGGCTAGAACTCTTTAAAACTGCACAAGAGACAAACAAAGACTAAGGAACCATCTCTGATGAAAGGAGCCTGAGGAGTCCTGACAACTAAATGGTTCGTGATCTGAACTGGATCCCACATAAGAAATGCAACATTAGTCTTCTTTTGAAGGGAGTCTCAGTTACTGCAATTACTTTAGTCTCAAACGAAACCCCAGAAATCCCTTAGTTATAGTGAAAACAATCTCTTCTAAGCCAGTATGATGACACTTAATAATTTTTTTGGCCAGAATATTACCACACATGATCTTGAAAGACAGTGTATGTTTTATATCCAATTTTTGTATAGGTTTACAAGTAAATTTTGTTTTAAAAAAATATTTAAAAACATATTTTGTTATTAAAAAACATTTTTCTAGTGAAGGTTGATACACTTTATCAACTTTGCTGTTTCAAAGGTGTTTGAAAGGGAGAGTCAGTGTCTTAGCTCAGCCATAGATAGATAAGTACATTCTTCTAATTGATGCTCGAATCTGAAATATCAGCCATAATGATAACACATGACAACCAGAATAATAATACCCGCTTCTTGCATGTGTCAGGCCTTTTCACATCAGTGAGATCAAGTGTACCTTTCGCTTGATCACTGTCAAAGCTGGTGTGGGCACACTGCTTACAGTGCATTTTGTTGCCACAGGAGGGTGGATGATAAAAAGCACGCAAAGTATATAAACCAAACTTTTCAAACAATTGGCCTGGGGGTGAGCCATTAAAAAAGAACTGCATAATGATTAAAACTGCAAAACTTCAGCATATTCACAATGATTAACGCAATCACATTCCAAGTAGGTCCATTCTTGGCAGAGCTTACAGACACTAATGCCAGAAAATATTACTCTTTTTCAAAACATTATCTGCATATTCAAAGGTTGCAGAGTGTTGAATCTTAAAATCTCTTGGCCCTGAGTTTTAGTAATAAATTAGTTAGTGAAAAAAACTGAGGGGGATAAACTCAAATTATTCAGCTGTTTTAGCCACGCATGTCATCACGAGAGCCGCCACATTCCAGAATTTCAGGAGGTGTTCAGAACGTAAGATCCCCTCTGCAGCACCTCAGCGGGCACCCCCTCTACCAGACCCAGGAAATGGTACTGTGGGTCCCTGGGACACTGAGCTGACACTAGGGACCTCCCTCTGAAGTCATGCCAGGGCCTGTGGCCACGATAGCTGCGGAGGGGCCTCCCACCCTCCCATAGGATTTTTTAGATTCAATTGTTGATAGATATGTTTTTATTGTTCATATTTTTTTTATCATCTCCTCCTCCTCCTCCTCCTCCTCCTCCTTCATTGTGGATGCCTGCACTCCTCAGGAAAGTTCAAACTGACCAGGAAACTATTATTTTTAATGGATTTTCATTGATTTTTTAGAGAGAGAGGAAGGGAGAGAAACATTGATGAGAGAGAAACATCAATCAGCTGCCTCCTGCACGCCCCCTACTAGGGATCAAGCTCACAACTAAGGCATCTGCTCTGACCGGGAATCAAACCGGTGACCTCTTGGTGCATGGGTCAACATTCAACCACTGAGCCACACCAGGGCATGACCAGGAACTATTTTAACTCTGTTCAAATGTATGTCTAATTAATGGTTTTGGTCCAAGGAAATCTATTTGTTGTTTATTAAGAAACATGTTTATTAAAGAAAGAAGTGAAAATAGAGGACATAAGACCCATAGTCAAACCTTCTAAAGTCCTTGTATTTTGCTATAGTTATGTTCTGACTTATTTTACTCAAAGGGTTTTTTATCATCATAACATTATTGTATATTCATATTTTATCTAACACTATATACTAGTATATCATAAGCAACTTTCTAGATTAACAGTTTTTTAAACAAATAGCTGTTTAATATTCCAAGTAACTGGAACTTGTTTTACTTAACTGGTTCCTTGTCATTAAACTTTATTGATTTACTTTTAAAATCATTTATTTTCTGAGTATCTACTACATTCAAGTCACTGGATTAAATATTACAAATACTACACATACATAAAAAAATTCCTCCTCCCAGAATGCTCTTCAAAACCACAAAAGATTCAAACATATACATGCAACACATATGATATATGCATGTATATACTTGCTACGTGTCCTTAAACCACTTAATTCTTTTCAAATATGCTTATATGATTGAGACATTCTAATTTCCTGTTCATGTATTCTTCTTATTGCTAATTTCTGCTCTCCTTGTCTGCTGGTTTTGCCCTAGCATGACTAATCAGAAAATCTTTAAAGTACCCACAAAAGAAATTCTCAGCATCATTAAATATTCTATCTTAAAAACATGTTCCAAGTATTAACTACACTGTGCTTGAAACAAAATTGCTATATATGTAATACTGGGCTGGTCACCTGAAAAAGGTAATAATTTGTTGGGGTTTTCTTTAGGTAGTGGAACCAAGAGAAAGGAGGGGACATCTGGAGCCACAGGACAGATATAAACCTTTCTTTCTGCCCTATCTAGCTGTGCGATCCTTGGCGTTTTCCTTAAGTGTCACTGTGGTGCAGTTTTGTACAAAGGAGTTAATATTTACCTTGCAGGGTGGATGTAAGGGTGCAGGAAAAATCTATGTAAGGGCCAGGCATGTACCTGGATACAAAAGACGCTGACTATGTTTATGTCTACAATGAGCATATCTTTTGCCTTTATGGGACAAAGAGAAGTGGATACAGAAACATTTTCAAGAGAAAAATTCAGTTACTTGGCTTTACTGCTACAAGTGAGTTTTAATTTATTACTCATTTCCTAGTGCCAGGTCAAAGTCTTCAAAATTTAAGAACCTAGAAATGTGGAGAACAGCACCCAGAGGCCGACCATGACCGCCTTAGGACCTAGCTCCTAATGTGTTGTCGATCCCAGGCTTTTCCTCCTTTCTGTATATTTGTGAGTTTCTACCAGAGGTGACGGGGTGAATTCCCAGTGCGGGAAGGTCACATCCATCTGCAATCCGGCTTTGGGAAGATTTGCCCCCCTTTCTAATTCTTCTCCCTGGGCCTCTGATTTGAAAGGTGAGCAAATGAGTCCTCTGCTGCTCTGCCAGCAGGTGGAATTAACTGCTTGTTTTCAGGAAAAGGAGACGTTCCCGCAGACACACGAGTGTGGGAGGGCAGCTTCAGGCCCGGGAGCACGTTGCCTCGCATTTTACACTGGAGGTCTGACACGCAGTCTTCTCTGAATCCGTATGAAAGCCCTGGCTAGTGAGAGTCCCTGACAATGGCCTCTGTAAGTTAATTCAGATTCGATCACCCACGGTAACGGAGCAGTAAGCTTCCCAGGGACCTTTTGCGTTCCTGGAAGTGCCATTTTCCCGTGTGAGTCAGACTGGAGTTTAAAAAGTGCAAATAATTATATGAAATCGACCATCTTTGTTCTGTCAAAGTGATTCGACCATCATTAAAACAGACATAATATTGTCAGGGCTAAAAAATCTTAGCTGTTTTTCCCCTGATGGGGCCTGGGTAAGCTTAGACCTCTGAGTAGATTCAGGCATGGTCCGTGCCTCTACCTGGGCCCAGGCACCCGCGGTGAGAAAGCAAGTCTAGACTAAATGTAACCACAGCCTGGAAGGCTACGTGTTTGAGAAACTGCCTATGGAACGAGCAGGCGGACAAGACTTTACCTAAAACCTGTATCATTAGCGGAGTTGTGTGCACAGAGAATTTCAGACAATCTGCACTCTCAAAATAACCCGTGGACAAGATTTTGTCTAAACTCAAGCTGTTTCCTTGGCTTTGGGACTGTAAGGTCGTTGTTACGGTGATTTCAGATGCTAACAGCACACCCAGGACACAGGAAGCTTAATTTCCAAAGGTTATTTGGGAAACTGTCCTTTGCAATTGCTGTTCTCCTTACCCAGAAACTCTGACCTCAGACATACGTGCCCAATGCATTCCCTTCTTCATCGGGGTCTCTGCTCAGATGTCCAGTGGTGGGGAAGCCTTCGGACCACCCCATTTGAAGTAGCACAAACAACTCAAAAACAGGCTCCATCTTACCTTAGATTTACAGCGGTTCTCAACCTGTGTCGCGACCCCTTTGGCGGTCGAACGACCCTTTCACAGGGGTCGCCTAAGACCATCCTGCATATCAGATCTTTACATTACGATTCATAACAGTAGCAACATTACAGTTATGAAGTGGCAACGGAAATAATTTTATGGTTGGGGGTCACAACATGAGGAACTGTATTTAAAGGGCCAGAAGGTTGAGAACCACTGCCTTAGAAGGTCTTCTTCTTCTTGTCCTCATGTTTCTTTCTCACAATCACTCACATGATAGATGCATTAGTTTTCCTTCCACCCCTCCCCTCCCCACCAAGGCAAGCTCCATAAAGGAGGAACTCTGTTTTTTTCACTGCTATATCCCAACCAGTTTCTCACAGAGTTCCTGAACCCAGGCTCACTATTCAATAAATATTTGTCACAGGAATGAATGAACCGTAGATGTTTTAGCCAAGAGCCATACATCTCCCATTCTCTTCCCAGCAAGATACAAACTCAAACAAAGCTTCCCGAGACACGCACACCAGGCTAACAGTGACACCTCCTTAGATGTCTTTGTTGCAGCTTATGAAGCAAATGTACCATGTGAGCTACCCCAAGAGTTTGCAAAACTCAAGTTTCTCTTCTAATGTTCCCAGGCTATTTTGTTAAGAAACAGACAGCCCTCTTCCCCCAAATTGCAAATGTTTCCATGCACACAGACACCCCGGTCTCTTTCCTTACCATACTGATTGGAATTGCTGGTGAAGAGCAGGTAGTCAGAAGCACAGGTCTGGGACTCAATATCCAAATCTCCTAACCTCAGAACCAACCTCTTCCCCTTCGGCACTGTGATTGTCCTCTCACACGTCGTGTGATTGGGGTAAGTCCGTGGATAATTCTTGGATGCCATGGTGCCACTGTCCTTATAGGACACTATGTGCCCACAGCCATCGCCTGTTAAAGAAAAAGGATTTAAGAAGTAAAATTAATTGTTCCAGAGAACTGAGAATCCAGTACAATTCCCTACTCATGTATTTTCTTCCTTCTTTGAAAGGAAGATTAAATTATTACGCAATATGTATTGTTTCACATTAGTTCATCTCTTGTTTCCCAGTTTAATCTTTTGAAGAGTTAATCAAAATGTTTCATATTAGAATAGAAAGCCATCACTAGCAAACACATCATTTTATCATATTACTTTTTCTAATCATCTATCTATCTATCTATCTGAACTTGTACAGTGGGCCCTTGGAATTCACAGATTTGCTGTTTGAGAGGACTTTAACAGCCTGTCATTTAGCTGGGAACTAGCAATCATTCACCATTCATATCTCACTAATGACAGTCGTGGATTGATGGTTCCTGATAGAGAAAGTCAAGCATCTCCTACACTGAGTGCTCGCCACACACCAGACCTGGAGCTGTGGGAGACATACAAAGCAGCGGTGTCTGCTTCATGGACCTTAGAGTAAAATGGGAGACAGTCACATGTCCAAATAACTGTAAGACTAGATGCTTTGTGCCACATCCGGGGCTTAAACAAAGGGCTGAGGCAGACGAGAAAGAATCTCTTTTAGTGAAATATCACTAGTTCATTAAAATAACAAATTTTCTTAAGACTTCTCTGAACAAGAAGGGTCATCAATTGACCAACAAGTTGCCTTAGTAGATTAAAGTGACCAAGTTAATCATTCCAATATCTAATGGTGTGCACAAGTGGGTGTGGCAAGGCAAATGAGCATGTACTGCATGCAAACTGCAAAATGCCTGTGGTTAGTACAGCTTCACATAAAAAAACAACAACAAGAATTCCTACCCTTAGGGAGGGAGAGGAAGCAGAAATCATTTGGAGAAGGAACTCGGTCAGGCAGGAAAACAAGGGCTCTCCATAGGAGCCCCAACTAGGGCACAATGGGAGCTAAAGACCAAGCAGCCTTCTCCCTTCTGCTGTCTCTTCCCTAAACTAGAGGGGGATTCACCTGTGGGTATCCTTTATTCCACTTCCTTCTTGCAGCTCAAATCATAATGGAGGCCCAGACCAAAAGAAATATCTGGGGGTAGGGCAGGGAACCCCAGCATCTACCCCACTCCCAGACCAGGG